AAATTGTCGGAGTGTTCCATAGAAAAGATCGGTATCGGTGAACGATTCGTGCCGGAGTGGTAGGCGCGTTTCTGGAATCGGACTGTCGGAAATCCATGATACGAGGCCCGAAATGTAGCGTCGAGCACGAACGAACGTATCCGATGGATTCTAATCGGTTGGATCCGTAGGAATATATACACATATATACAGTAAATTCTCGATAACTGCTTGGAAAGATCCGTCACGTTAAATACTTCTGCTTCGGAAGCTTAGCCCATGCAGTTCATGAAGTTCAGAAATCGTGTCCCTCTGCGATAACTGTCTCAAAGCGGTCCCAAGTTTCAAGCATTAATCGAAAATTGACTGTATGTACATATACTCGTATCTGTGGATACCGTTCGATCGTCGCGGTGGAATCGACCTGCGATAGCGTCGATCGCGCACGACGACTTTCAGCTTGCAGCCAATAGAAAAGCGGTTGACCGTTCGAGCAAGAATCCCAACCTAGTCGATTTATGGTATGGAAGAACGAGCTCGGGCGACCAATCGTTTTTTCTGGGGTATATATTCAAAAACCTCGTTGTTCTATATTCTAGCCGATCGCGCAAACAGAACCTAGGCTATACACAAAAGAATCTCGCGGCGTTTTCCGTCTATCGGGCCCATTCATTCTCACGCGGCTTATACATAAAATTACATACGGTGGTAATAATCATCTATAATATCGTTTACAAGTATCGTAGCGTACACACTCAACACGCAACTTGCTTTGTAATTCCCGCGGTAATGGTATTTCTTTTTTTTTTTTTACTTCGTTCTAAGTTGATAAAAGTCTCTTCTCTGGTCCGAAAGAAGTTACAGATACTTAGGCACTTGTTATCTCGTCTAGAATCCATCGTACGAAGAGCAATCGAACGAGTTCGGTTGTTTTCTTTCTTTCTCATTGTTATCCTAACAAACGGTAATCGGAGGAATAAAGTGTTTACGATAAGAATGAGAGCGCAAAGGATTCCGTCGACCCCCCGCGAAAAATTCCAATTTCCGTTTTTTTTTTGGCGTTTCGAGTCGTCTACGGGTTTTGGCGTACGCTATCGCCCTCAGAGCGACAGGAACGGTCTCTCTCCTCGGAGAATTGAATTCCGTCGGGACCGCGACGTTCTTCCAATGCGCGCGCACAAAATAGAAAAACGTTACCCTATTAGGGTACGAAAGACGAATGGACACGCGCGGTCGGTCGTTGCTCTCGTTGCTTTATTGCTTGCGTCAACCCGTTCTCTTCCGACCGTGTCGGAAGCCTCTTTCCCGTGTCGCAGTGACGCGAAACGTTCCACATACCGTCTAGAATCAGATCTAGAAAAAACAGACGGCAATGGACAACGTTTGATCGCGTCGAATTCTCGTTTCCCGGCCGTGGCTTTTCGGGGATTCGCGCAAATTCGGTGCTGGAACACCGAACGGCTAGGTATCGGAGTTAGAAAAAGAATCGACAGGCCAATCGTTGTCGCGTCGCTAAGATGGCGGCGGTTGCTGCTGCTGCTGCGACGGTGGCTGCTGCGACGCCGTTGTTTGACCGTGATAGAACGACTGATACTGCCGTCGGCCAGACGGTTGTTGCTCATACAATGGCTGGTAACCAATCCCAGTCGGCGGCGGCTGCTGTTGCTGCTGCTGACTTTGTTGATACGGTGGCGCCCACTGGGGGTCAGCCGCCTGTTGCAGCTGGTAAGTGAGCGGCTGTCCCCGTCGCTCCTGCAGAAGCAGCTGATGTGCCGCTCGGTCCATCTCCTCGCGTGTCATATCCAAAGCTTCCTGCATCTCCCGCGACGTGTACCTCACGAAATCGGGGTCGCAGTACTTGCCCAGCCCTTGTTCCACGAGAACCTGAAAGGGGAACGCGAATCAACGACGTTGTAACGGCTACGATCACGCACGGTGTGTGATATTTCAGGGATCTAGCGGTGACGTAATTCAATTCGCTCACCCACCACGACCCAGGGCTATGATGACAAAAGTTAGCATAGAGAGGGCTCTCGACTCATTGCCATTTTATTCCCCTATAGCTTCGACCATGGCAATATCGCAAAAGTCCACTGTATTGATTTTTACACGACAAAGTTTACGATAAGTTACGAGTTGCTCTTTATGAAATTTTATGTTAATTTTCAAATTAAATTTTTCCTCTGTTAAAAATTGCCCGGCAAGCCAGCAACTCGGTAAGTATTATTTATGAATTATTTATAAATTTTCGCCACCGCTGCACTAGAAGACTTACCCGACCGACGAGACTCTCCGCGCTTCCGATCACCTCGAAGTTCGGCTTCCGATCGGCGGGACTTCCCGGCAGGCTGTGGGACAGGCGCTCTGCGCCGATGCTTCCGTTACTCTCACTGGCCCAGGAAACTGACGAACGAGGAGAGTCGTCAAGGAATTAAAGCTCGTCGAGCTACGCTCTGCCTTCTACAGATTTCTCGACACCGGACATTCCGTGGCACACCGAGCGTTTCATATTGTGTGTATGTATGCATGTATGCATGTATGTATGTGTGTGACTTTGTATCTGGTTAGTAGTAGAGTAGCATCAAGCGAATCAAACGGAGTTAAGCGAGCCACCTGGCAGAACGCATGCCTCGAGCGAGCGCGTCGTCATGCGATACACACGCTTTATCCCATCCTCCTCCACGTCTCTCTTCGTGTCTGCATCGCGTTGCGTCGTGTGCGAGATCGCGCGGCAAACAAAAAGCAGCTCGTGTGTGCAGTGGCCGCGTGCGTTAGTGCGTGCGTTAGTGCGTGCGAAAAAGAACGAAGGTATGAGTCAATTAATGGACACACAAAATCAATGGTACGTTGCGTCGAGAAGTGGTCTCGCGCGAGAATCGATCGAAAGTCGAGTACGCGTGAAGCATGCTTCGCATCGATTTCATTCGACTCGAATACAGTAGACTCTCGATAACTTTTCGCGCTCGGGGTTGCAGGAAATTTCTGGGAAATGTGGAAACTTAACGAATGCCTTCATCGTAAGGCTAACGTCTTAAAGGATGGTATTTATTATCAGTTCGAGGGAATTAACGGAAAAAGTTGGATGGCAGTGGGGGAAAATAATACAGCTGTGAGTGTTGCATCATTCGCCTGGTGAAGGCAAATGACGTAGCATAGAGTGGTAGTGGGGGTTAGTGTGGTGGGAACACGTGACTCGTATTTGGTGAAAGTACGCGTGGAGGGGAATAAGCCGCTATAGAAAATTATCGAGTGGAAAGTTATCGAGACTCTAGTGTAAGTACATTCCAGGCCAGCAAACTCGACGCAACGATTCGGGGATATATCGCGAAGGTCGATGAACGCCTTTCCGGTAAAAACTTCGTTTCATGCTTTCAAAGAGGAAATAGCAATAGGCGTACCAATTGTATAATTGTTGGCGGTGAAAGGCGTAGATCGAACGGAGGACAAGGAAGTGAAATGGAGCGGCGAAGCATTTGGTCGGGAATTAGTCACCTCTGCCGTGGTAAGAGGCCCGGTGCGGCAGACAGGAGGAACAGTCGCGGCATTGCCGCGAGTCGTCGTCGGCAAGGAAGCCGGCGACGGCGATCGCCTGGGTCTCGGCGAGCTTCAGGCCGTTGGCGACGGTCCGTTTGGCGTCGGTGTTTTGCGCGGCGGACGTCGCCGAGCTGCTCGACTGACCACCGCCGCCGCCGCCGCCGCTGGCGTCGTGCCTTCTGAAACTTGGGGGCGCCGACTTCCCTCCGCACAGCGGATTCCGTCGACCACGAGCACGGTTACGGGTACAAGAAGAACCAACGGCCAGCTCCAGCCTCATGGACCGGCATCGACGTCTGAGCTTCTCGGAACTGCTCCAACCGCTAGATCCGCCGGAGCTGCCCGACCCACCGGACGCGCTGAAGTCGCTCTCCGCCGAGGAATCCACATCTTCCCGATCTACGGCTGCCGTGTGGTACATGGCACGCGATACCCGCGTTTTTAGAACACCTAACTTATCTCTCGCCTCGTCACAAGCCTTGCGCCATCCCACGCATAGACATAGGAGTATAGACTGCGTGTCAGGCTGGGCCGGTGTCCCAAATTTAGAGCTACTCTGTCCCCCTCCCGTAAAGGCCTGCTCTGTTTTGTCATAGGGGACTGTCCCCCCTTCGTACCTGCCGCGCAGGATCACGATCGGCGAGTGGGACAGCTAAGAGGTTAGAAGGTGCACGCGCATTCTTTGACCTTAGCGTCCCACACGCCGATCCCCGATCACCACGCAGCACAACAGAGCACAGTAGACTCACGTTAAAGTAGCGTAGGAACACCTCAGCTCACACGTATTACTCACAAACGTGCGCGCACCCCACTATCGGTCGCCATCTGTAACCAAAGTTCTGAACTAATTGGTGGATCGACCGTACTACCACGAGATCCTTGCGTGCCCATTGGCTCCCGTTGATGTAGCGTTTCGAGGTAAAACCCATCTCGAGAGCCCCGCACCACTACTTTAACGCGAGTCTATTGTAATGAGGGAACAGAATTCTTAGCGATGGTAAGGACCATATCGTCCTTAGCAACAACACCTCGGCTAGGCCTGCCTTAGACAGTAGTCGGTCTATCGTTCGTCATTGTTTTCGTCGGACAATTGTCGATTTGTGATCATTGTTAACAGTTTCGGTTCGGCGGGCATTGTATCTATTTCTCTTCCATTTACCAAGAATTACGGAATACCCCCTACTACCAATTGCTCAAACACATAGACAGATAGAAATATATATATATATAGAGAGAGAGAGAGACAGAAAGAGAGATAGAGTGAGAGAGTGAGAGAAAGTTGATCGTACCGTGATTACTCCAGACGGCACAATCGACGCAGCATCCCCTTGTCGCGTAGGAATAGTAACATCGCATCCCGTTGGAGGATGTGCCAGGGCTCGAGCTGCTCGTAGCGGTCGGCGTGTTCGTGCTCGACGTGCTCGTGCTCGTACACGTGACGATCGACGGCGTGGCGCTGGCGGACTTGCTGGACGATTGTTGCGCGACGGGGTGCGGGGCAATGCCGGTGCTCGGTGGGGCAATGGACTGGGGTGGGTTCCTTCGGGGTGGTGGCGTCGGTGGGGTCAGCTGCCGCTCGATTCCGTCCTGAAGACTGCTTCGAGCAACCGCGACGACGTCGACGAGCGTCGGATAGGCCGACACCCGCACGACACAGGCACACAGAAAAAAACGGGCAGAAACGCACTCTCTTAGTTTGTTAAGGGGCAGACAACCGGGCGAGCGCGTGCAACACCCGACAACCGCGCGTCTTCGAGAGCCTCGAGACAGCCCCCTTTTTTCCCCAAAGTTTAATCTCCGTTCCATGTAAGAATAGCCTCACGCTCGGACGAGTTTTCGACCGTTCTGCGCAATCCCCACTACTTCCGACCGATTCCGACGCATGCGATTGCTCGTAGGTCGCTATTTCTGCCGATCTTCTACCAATGAACGGCCTTAGATCTCGTTCCATGCGCGAAACGAGGTTATTCTTACGTGAAACGGAGATTACGTATAGCATTTGTTTGATCCAGAGCTGCACGCAAGGCATTGCTCACGAGTAGCAGGCGGGGTTGAATTTCCCCTCCCGGGTGTCACACCTACTATGATCCCCAAATTGACTTGCTCCAGTCGTGGAGGGAATATTATTAGTGGAGACACTCAAGCGAGTCAATCTGTGGGCTTTAGTGGTGGTAACCCGTGAAGGGAGGGGTGTTCCAGTTATCGAGGAGGTATAGGAGTAAACTTATCTTATGGGACTTGGTGGCTCATCTTTAGTATCGACACCATAAAAAGACTGTGATTTTAGCGACCTCTACGTTATGAGAACGGCGAATCTGCGGTGGGTAGTGACACTAAAATGGAAATGGGGCATTGACGACCCAGCAAAGTGGACCGCAAAAATACTTCAGAAGTTTGGTATACTCCTTCATACCTCGTCAGTGGTTCGAGCCGCTGCTGCTTGTGTGCAATCGGTTGCGCAGCTCTGGGTCTGTCTCAAGGCTCTGGATGTGCTCGCGCGGAGTTGAGAAGCGTCCGAGTCGGCTGGCACGAGTACGTAAACGTGGACCGACGAAATCACATGCAATCGGCGCTGCGTCGCGAATCACTCGTCGGTTCTCAACTAGTTCAGCTATCGCGCGCGCTCGACCTAGAGGGCTCTGCTCGCGTGAAGCCAGACGAGAGAGCCCCCTTCGCCGAGCACTCCGTTGGTTAATATGGTTGTTATTACGCATGCAAGCGCGCAAGCGAGAAATGCTATTTCGATCAAAATAAAAAGCCAACTATTTGAAATCCCATAGCCCTGACGTTCTCTTACCATATTCGCTATTCGGATGAAGGTAGTTACCGCTACCTGGACCACTGAAACGTACGACAGTAAACAGAAGGACCGTACACATGATGCGAGAAGATCGCGGCTGGAAAATTCGCGGGCATGAATCTAATTGTATTCGATCGTACAAACACCCGTTCACGCGCATCGGTTTCGCTGAATCTACACGTATCGACGCGATAAAAACCATATCGATCGCGGTTACATCGTTGCGACATCGGTTACGAAGCCGAGTAACTCCGGGTGACCTCGGCGTAGAAGCGTTCCTCTACTTACTCGATCACTTTGTACGAGGGATGATGGTACGACAGTTGCTGGACGGGATTTCCAAACATGGCCAACGGTCTCAGGGGAATGTTCTCCTCGATGCCGGTCAATTTCGAGTCCATTCCCAATTGGTTCATCGCGCTGTCGCTCAGCCCACTAAACAAATTTCGTACACATCGCGGATCAAGCTTCTTGTTCTCGTTTCAGGTACATTCGTGTACCAGCGCGGCAAACACCGAGACTAACCCTGCTACGTTCGGCACAACCTGATGGGACCTCGCGGTGATTTGATTCGGCGCGTCCAGCCCGCCTCCTCTGTGAAGCGACGAGTATGGCAGGAAGTCTATGGAATTCGTCGGGGAAGCCTGCAAAACGCAACGAAGAACATTTATTATTATAGAAATACAGGGTATAACAGAAATGTTGGAGGACCCGGAAATGGGAGACTTGTAAGGTGATTTGAAACAAGTTTTTCCTTGGGGAAAATGTTATCCGAGGCTTTATTAACGAGATATTAATGAAAAACCCTGACCAATCAGAGCGCGAGTCTGCCGGCTGAGTTCCCGCGGTAACGTTGGCTACCAATCGCAGCGCGTAGCCAGCCGGCAAACTCGTGCTCTGATTGGTCGGGGTTTTTCGTTAATATCTTGTTAACAAAGCCTCGGATAAAATTTTTGCTAAGGAAAAACTTGTTTCAAATCATCTCACGAGTCTCCCATTTCCGGGTGCTCTATAAATCAAAAGGGATCCGGTCGTATGACAAGATTTATTTTTATTTTCGCGACCGAAACGCTTCTACCTTGGTCGTAGAATTCACTTTGAGCGACCTCGCCCTGTTGAAACTGTGGTGACCTTTCCTCATACTTGACCAGACGCTACCGAAGAGCGAATGATTTCTCTGGGAACAGTAAACAAGGGATGAGTTACTGACTGGAATAAACACTGCGAATAATGTTGCTGTTGTCGAACATCTGATACCCTGTGCATAGGTTCCGGATTGTCGTCGAGAAGCTCCTCCAAGTTTCCAGAAATGGCTCTCTTCAGCTCCGGTCCAGCCTCGTGCAGTGTCCTCAGACCGGCCTGAAGTGTTACGGTGTTGTGACAATCCTTGTCGCCGTCCTTCATTTCTTGCTCCTTGCGCTTCTTGAACCGTCGGAAATAGTCCTGGATCAGGAAAGTCGCGTAGAACTTGCCGACTGTCACTTCGTCGTCCACTGGAAAGAATATGACTTCGTGAAAATCGAACCGTCGTAAATGATCTGTCTAAATAATCTAAATGATGAGTATATACCTCCAGGTGGCGGTACTACTTGGTCGAGGAGCTTCGGGCTGGTTCTCTTCCAAATTTTTTTGATCACTGCCCTAAGCTCGGTGTTGGCGTCGTCGATGTTCCCCTCGGTCTTGATCCGCAACGAAGTCCTCACCACGGCGAATAACGTTGCGTTAAACAAGACCGTGCCGTCGCTGTTTAACGGCATGTTCATGGAGACCAGCCTCTGGATACGTTTAAAAATTCCGTGTAAGTCACTAGGAACGAGACGATATACAGGGTGTCCCAAAATAGCGTCGACTCCTGGAAATGAGGGGCTCCTGGGATAATTTAAAAGAACTTTTTGCTTAGCAAAAATGTTATCCGAGGCTTTGTTAACGAGATATTAACGAAAAACCCCGACCAATCAGAGGGCGAATCTGGCAGTGGAGTTCCTGCAGTAGCGGTGGTTACCAATCGGAACGCATAGCCACCGCTATCGCGGAAGTTCGGCAGGCAAACTCGAGCTCTGATGGGTCGGGGTTTTTCTTTAATATCTCATTAACAAAGCCTTGGACAACATTTTTGTTAAGGAAAAAGTTGTTTCAAATCATTCCAGGAACCCCTCATTTCCGGGCCACGAAACTATTTTGGGACACCCTGTATAGAAAAATATTTTCGGGACGCCAACCTTGCACGCGACTCGATGAGGACAGAGTTTACCGAATCCTAAGGGCGGCGATATCTTTCTGAGGAGCGTCACCACGTCCAGATGCTTGATGCGACCCTTCGCGTCAGGATCGTATTCGGACCAAAGACGAATGAACTCGTCCAAATGGTGGGGACCCAGGATCGACCAATCCCTCGTCAGGTAATCGAAATTGTCCATGATCACAGCGACGAAGAGATTGATGATCTGTACGAGAAACATAGCGACTTCGAAATTGCGTGGCCATATGGGGAAATATATATAAAATATATATGGGCCATTTGGGCCATTGTGAAACGAGTTGAACAAAAGTTAATTCCCCGGTTAACAGGTTAAGGGATCACCCCCACTTGTTACTCACCAGGAAAGAGCATAAAACGTAGAAAGATATAAAGTAGGGAATCGCAATGTCGGATCCACAGCCATTGAGATTGTTGGCTTCGTCGCTCTTCGGATCGCATTTCACTTGGCCCGGTTGGGCCGAACAGTCCATCATGATCTCCTGCCAAGCTTCGCCTGTATCGACGTCAGAAACGTTATTAATAGAAATCAATAAATTTTATAAACATTGCGCACATGCATCACGTACCTGTAGCCGATCTGAATAGGACCAACACCGCTTGAGGGAAGGATTGGAAGTTATTGTTCCGATCAATCGATGTCTCGTCGTCGATCGCGATTTTTCCAAACACCTGCAACGAGGAAACCACGTTTTTTTACTGGTTTCTTTTAAGGTAGAATAGCTTTGTTACTTCCAAATCTTATCGATCGCTTACCTGCATGCCTATCACAGCGTAAATAAAAAATAGCATTATGATAAGTAGAGCTACGTAGGGCAGAGCTTGGAAAGATTTGATGAAAGTCCAGAGAAGCGTTCTGATGCCTTCCCCTCTGCTCAGCAGCTTCACCAATCGCATCACTCGGAACAGCCGAAAGAAGTTGATGGAAATGATGGTCGCGCCAGGCTGCGAAAATTACCAGTTATCGTTTCGATTGTTTTCTTTTTTTTCTTCGTTTACCGTAAAATTATTTTATGTAAACAACAATTTATACAAAAATTGGACCAACCTAAAAAATAAATAAAATCATCAACGGACTTACATTGACTTCCGAGTAAACGATGTCGATGAAACTGCCGAGTACTATGATAAAGTCGAAAACGTTCCACGCGTCGCCAAAGTAATTCTGCAAATAAGGATTCCGTTAAACGGGGTCAAAGTGTGATTTGTATCGAAGCGTTTTTCCGGTAATTGTACCTTGAACCGAAACGCTGCCAGTTTGAAGATAAATTCAAGTGCGAACACCGCGGTGAAAATCATGTTGAGGACGTCCAATGCCTCCGTGTAGATCTCTGGTTGCCGATAGAACTTCATCGCCAGCGTCACGGTGTTGATCATGATCAGAGTGAAAATCGTGTACTCGAACGGCTGCGAGGTGACGAACCACCAGACTTTGTACTGTATTCGATGCTTCGGTATGTATCGTCGAACCGGTTTCGCCTTTAGCGCGAACTCGATGCAATTTCGCTGGACATTCGAGAAGACAAAATGTATAGGAGGGGGTCAAAGATGAAATTTACAAGTGGTTTTAGTTGGTCGATTCGGTGTAATGATCCTGGATGCGATCGGGCTCACCTGATTCTTATCGAGTTCGCAGTTTTTGTACTCTTGCTCACCCTCGTTCTGGAAAGTGACAATAACGAAACCAACGAAGATGTTCACCATGAAGAATGCTATGATAATGATGTAAATGATGTAGTACGCGGCCACTATCGGCCGAAAATTATGAATTGGTCCATGATCCTCCTTGTTAGAGTCGATCGACACGTCTAGCAATCTGTTGGGAGAGAAAACGCTAAGCTATCCGCTCGACTACACCGAGATTCGGTTTTTACCTTAACCCCCTAGTGCACTGTTCCGGTTAATTTCACCCGAAATTTAATGTTTGATTCTTAATCATAGTTTTTATTACAGAATTTTGTAAATTAATTTGATACTAACATACAGTAAATCATCGATGACTGTTCGAAGATTCCTTGGCACTAACAAAGGGAGATCCTCAGGTGTAAGTTGATTGTATATTTCATATGGCCATTAGTTTATGAAATATTTAATGTTCAGTGCCGAGGAGTCTTCGAACACTCATCGAGGATTTACTGTAGTAATAAGCAAACGTATTTCCTTAATTCCATTTCAGTGCAGGCCCAATTCAATTCAGGGAATAGTAATGCAATAGTTTATCGAACAATGCATGAAGGTTAGGCAATTTCATTGTTTTGATTCGACAACATCCTAAAACGGAACGATCAGAAACAGACTTTCCGTGGTGAACCGTTCGGTTCCGGATGAGAAACAATATCGAGAAGCTTGTTGCGAATCGACGGGACGAGACGCGAGCTTACTTACGACGGCCAGCCCTCGAACGTCGAGACGGTGAAGAGGGTCAACATCGCCTTAGCGACGTCGTCGAAGTGGAAACGGTTTTGGCACCAGTTTCTCTCTTTCATCACCGGCTTGTTGATGTTACCGTCCTCGAACTCGAGGTACGTGCCCCTGAGAACGATACAGTGATCAGAGCAACGTCGTCGACATTCGATAATAGTTCACTGGATACAGTAGTTCCTGCTTAACTGTGACCAGGGCCGTTCCTGGCGGGGGTGCAGAAGGTGTCCCCGCACCTGGGCGGCCGCAGATCGTTTATTATATGAAAAATTTGGACTAGTAAGAATAGTAATCTTAAATTTTCTGACGATTATGCAAATTTTAGACCAACAGAATTTAATCAAATTAATTATATACATATATAATCTTTGTAACAGTACTCGTATATCTACTATAGTTTTTAAAATAAGAAAACATATATTAACTTCTAAGGGACACTTGCACCCTAAAAAACCGAATATCAGGAAAAACGAAAAATTGCCCTATGCTTCTATTGAGTTCCCCGACAAATCTACGGAGTTTTAAAGAAATCGGAATTTTCGGGGTACCGAAGATTCCCTTGTTAGTGAAAAAGGTTTGGTGGGGATAACCTGCGTCAATTAAACGGGGACTACTGTACTCGTAAAGGTGGATCACTTACTGGCACTCGTCCTTCGTCATTTTCGATGCATCGGTACAAGAGAAAAATTTCCCCTATATAACACAAGAAACTTATTAATGGGAAGCAGATACAGCCGCGAAGCCGATGCTTCTCGTGAACGTTCCAAAAGCCATCGAACGCGCGCCGATGCTCCTCGATTCGCGCGTTCCTAAAACTTTTCGCGCTATATACTATCATCGAAATCTCGAGATAATGGCGGAGACGAAGAGCATCGGTGTGGTTCGGTCGTTCTCTCGTTAATTGGCCATTCTCTAGCTGGAGCAAAGTCAGTAGCAGCGGAGTAATCGAGCAAAAGTAAAGGAAAGATGAAAGAACAAGAAAAAAAAAAAAAAGAAAAATCGAGAAGTGATAGAAAACGAAGCATTCCGTTTGGCGTGCAGATATAATACAGAATAAAATTATATACAAGGTACGCCGTGATGCAGGCTGTCCCGTTTGGCCTACGTCGATCGAGCGACGTGTGTGGGTCGTGCACGAGTGGAATCGAGAGTCCGGAGAAAAACGTTCTCGCGCAGGCGTTTTTGAACGAACGATCGACCTTTCGACGGTTCCGATCGGTTAGGGTCTAAAGGTACGTATTCACGTTGGTAGTAAAAGTCATGACTTTTGTTTTCGTGAGATTGTACGATAACAAACCAGTTTCATGACAATGCGACATCTAGGTTTTACGACGATAAAAGTCGTAACATTTAGTGGCATTATCATAAAAGGTATCCTGTCACGTGAAGACGTACCTTAATGATTCACCTTTGTGTCTTTGCTTCGTCGATCTTTCTATCCGACGAATCGTACGCACGCCGAATTTCGTTCGAACGAGTTCCTTTTCGATTACTACGGCTTCCTTTTTCCGACTACCAGGGTATTCCGAAGGTAATCTACCAACTACAGAGACTGTTTTTCGCAGCGACCGACTATATTACAACGAATTCCACGTCTTTGTCCGGTCCATAATTGCTTGCAAGTCACAAAAGCACAGGCGGTACCGGTGTTTCCTGACCGTCTGTTTTGTTTCCCTTTTCAACTGGGCTGGATTCCGTGTCGCGAAGGTCAAGGATGCTTGTTCGCCGGTTTCCAAGTCAGTTGGAACAACCGTTCACAGTTAGTACCCTCACGAGGAAACTCAGCTTCCGCTAGGGGAAAAAGTGGCGTAAGAGAAAAACCTCCTACCACTTGGTAAATTTATTCCAGGCATTGAAATAAATGTTAAATCGAATGTTAATTTCGCATAAATTTCAATAAATCTGAGACCAAATGGTAAGAGGTCTTTCCCTTACAACATTTTCCCCCTAGTGGAAGCCGAGTTTGCTCGCAACGGTACAAGTTTTGCGAGCTGCCAGTGGAAAGAAAGGATACGAGCATCATGCGCCCTGTGTCACGTTTGTCTTGCGTGGACCGTAACTACACGAGACTCGATGATTCTCTATTCACATCGACCGAGCTATAAGCGTCTATCCGTTTGAATTGCTGTCGGTTCATTGTACGCTATTATCGTGCTCGAACGCTACGACGCTGTTACTGTGCGGGAGCAGAGATGACGATACGCTTCAAGGCTATTCTAACCGTTTACGATTATGTGTAATGTATGTATGTATGTATGTATTATACAGGGTATTTCACGTAACTTGACCACCTTAAATATATCGCTTATTTTGTATGATAGAAAAAATATCAGGGGAGAAAAATATTCTGTTCGAAAGGCGCCAATACGGTGATGGGCCGAATTTTTTGCTCAAGGTCATTTTTTCGAGATTTCAAGGTCATCGAATTTTTTTTTAACGGGACTACATATTTTCACTACAATACTCTTATAGCATATAAAAAAAACAAATCCAACGAGGTGCAATATGTTGACCTTCACGTGACCTTTAGCGAAAAAATCATGAAATGTTTGTCAGTAAGCTCAGTACGCGTTCGAGGACGGTAAATGAAGGAATTTCAATTTTATTGGAACAGTCTTCAGTTACATCTTTATTTCAGAAGGTGTTCAAAATGTGCACCATGAATCTGGATACATTGTTGGAGGCGGTAAATAAATTCTTGCTGTACATTTTTAAGTTGCTCTGCAGTAATTGATCTACATTCATGTAGAACCCTTTGTCGCATGTTTTCTGCCGATGAAAGGAGAATACGAATGTCTGTTTACATGCACCAGGGACAATTACACGGTACACTGTTCCAATGAAATTGAAATTCCTTCATTTACTGTCCCCGAACGCGTATTGAGCTTACTGACAAAGATTTCATGATTTTTTCGCTAAAGGTCACGCGAAGGTCAACATATTACACCTCGTTGGATTTGTTTTTTTATATGCTATAAGAGTATTGTAGTGAAAATATGTAGTCCCATTAAAAAAAAAATCGATGACCTTGAAATCTCGAAAAAAAATGACCTTGAGAAAAAAATTTGGCCCATCACCGTATTGGCGCCTTCGAACAGAATATGTTTCTCCCCTGATATTTTTTCTATCATACAAAATAAGCGATATATTTAAGGTGGTCAAGTTACGTGAAATACCCTGTATACAATGCACGCATTCTAATGTCTGATGATTCTGAATTTCGTGTCGCGGGGGACCGTCTACCCTCTCCAGACATGGCAAGAAAGCTTCTCTCGGGAACCGAAATCGACGGGCGAATAAGCAGGTCGTCGACGAACTGCGAAAGATCAACGTCGCGACCATTGATAGATTAGAAACGAATACAAAAGGTCAGGTTTGACAACAATTTTGATATCATACAGGGTGTCCCAAAATAGCTTCGACTCCCTGAAATGAGGGATTCCTCGGATGATTTGAAACAATTTTTTCCTTAGCAAAAATGTTATCCGAGGTTTTGTTAACGAGATATTAACGAAAAACTCCGACCAATCAAAGCGCAAGTTTGCCGTCCGAGCTTCCGTGGTAGCGTTGGCTATGGTCGGGTTACAATATACTCAACGAGTTTCTTCCGAATAGATGAAAACAGAAACAGAGATAGGGAGAAACAGACTGAGAAAGAGAGAGAGTCAGAGAGAAAGCAAGCATAGGGACTGATCAGTTGATATTGCCATGTCTGTGACTCGTGGTTCCGGTGTTCTCCAGCGTACGACGACCATCATGCACTACGATTAAAGCCTCGTTCTCACATACACAGCGAAACTTGCATGCCTCTCTGTGAAATGTATATGTATATATCTCTCTATCCGTAGTTCGATGTCCGCACGGAGCATTCGTTCGAACGTATAGCGAATGTACGTGTGGTGTGTGGGTGTGTATGTGTCTGTAAGTGTGTGTCACTCTCGGTCGAACCGTTATAGCTCCGGTTGGATTTATTGGTGAAGCGTTAGATCGTAACACAGCGTGTGTACGTGTGTGTGTGTGACCGTGCTCGAGGATGTTATTATTTCGTGAGCGCGCAGAGACTCTCCGCAAAGGGTAATATCGGACGACGTGTGTGTGTATGTGTCTCTGCGTTCTCTCAACGAGGTTAATCGATCAACGTCCTAGTTTTCATGCTTGGCCTTACGATCCTGACCAACCGCGTGCTCTACTGATAAGATATCGTCGTATCCGCAAGGATGGACGCGACGTGTTATAGCGCGATCACCCTCCACCGCCGATATTTTCCTCCGCAGAGCCCGAAGGAGGATCGAGAAAGACTAGCCGGGGATCGATGGGGACAGTCAGGTAGGGGGGAGGGGGGGTTAGGCGTTTTGAGATACAGTGTCACAGCGTGCAGCGTGTCACGAGACACGGGGTGAACGGACACGTTTTGAAAACTGCGATGGAGTTGGTCGTAGTGTAACTTCTGCTTAACTCTCGCATGATGGATGTGAAAGCCGATGGCAGAGTCACGTGTGACTCATAGGAAAAACTCCGTTCCATGGAAGAATAACCTCATGCTCGGACGAGTTTTCGACCGTTCTGTGTAGCCCCACTACTGCCGACCGATTCTGACCCTTGCGATTGCTTGCAGCTCGCTATCTCTGCCGATCTTCTACAAATGAACGGTCTTAGATCTCGTCCCATGCGCGAAACGAGGTTATTCTCACGTTGAACAGTGTTTAGACACCAGAATGGGGCACAATTTTACTTGAATAATGCATAGTGAGGAAGTAGTATCTAAAGATGCGTATCCACTTGTTGCGTATCCTCGTATCTTGTCACTAGACTGCTGATTTTATGAATTTACAGTCTATAGGGCTCTGTGAAATACAATAAGATACTTAAGAGAAAAAATAAATTTCTATATTTGCTACTGTCTTTATAAATTACCTTAGAAAATGTTATTTTGCATAAAAATCCGCAGTCTACTTATCACTGTTGTGTATCGATGTGGACGGGCAAGCGTTGCAGCGTTGCGTATGAAAATGTATCGTATGGTGATACGATACGGTGATACGCAACGGCGATACGATACAAAGATACGCAACAAATGGATACGGACCATAAGATCATCATCTTGGCCGTTGAACAGTTAATGAGACGAAATAATCGTTTGCCAAGTGTCTACTTATTCAAGAAGAAATATTATTTTATTATTGAAATTGAAATTTGGTCAAGGTATACTTAACGAAGCGACCCGGCCATCGTTATGCGAGGATTAATTAATGCATGTAATTAATTATATCAATTAACCTTTTAACGGTGGTTGACGAGTATATTCGTCACGAGGAAATGACCACTTTTATGACAATGTGAAAAAATAAACAACGTTTACTGTGAAAATTGGAAAAACACCCCGTGTCTCGCGATTGGGGACTGAAATCTCCGGGGTCGAGGGCGAATCGACGCTCTCTCGAAGCCTGGCCCGCGGTTGTAACGCGAAGCGGTCCGCCTGACGTCGACGACGAAAAGCAACGACGAAGAAACGAAAAAACGAGAAAAAGTAAGAGAGAGAATATTAGAAAAATAGAAACAACAGATGAGGAAAGAAAAATTAACGAAAACGGAACGTAGAAAGATAGAAGGAAAAGAATATATAAAAGAACAAATGAATAAAGAGAGCGAAAAAAAAGAAAGAGAAGTATCAGACAAAAGAAGAGCTTTCTCGAGGAGCTCGGCTTAGTTTAAACTTTCTAACAAGTGATTGTGGTGGTCTTTTTGTTGGCGTTACCTTAAACAGCTGTACCCCGATAACAGCAAACATGAACTGTAGGAGATAGGTGACCAACATAATGTTGCCGATCGTTTTAATGGCGACAATCACACACTTCACTACGTACTGTTTTTACGTAGTTGGTTGAAGGGCAGGTGAGCAGGGCGAGCGAGCACAGCGGGGAACACGGGATCGTGAGACAGACAGACGGAAAGAGAAAACAAAAAAAATACAAAGTAGCATTAATCGGTGGGCAGGGGTTGAGGGGGGGGGGGGGTTGCTAGTTTCGCTCCTGGAGTTCGAGTATCTCTTATAGACCTGGACGTCTCTGAAACGCTTCCGTCCCTCCTTTCTGGTCGGTTTGTACATTTCGTTTTGGCCCGATATCGTCGCATCAACCTGGATTTCTTTTTCACACGAAAATTCAAATCGTTCTCTAACCGTTTACAGGCTGACCCTGTTTCGACTCGTGTCTATCCTCTTTTCCTTTTTATTTTCCTTTTGGATTCCGAACTTCGAATCTCTAGTCTGTTTACCGAATCGTGAACTAAGCCCTCGCCATCCATCCAACCCACCAGTGCTCGATGTTTTTTCACGGCAATGCACCTATGGGCCTCGTCGGATCGAATATCGTCGGTACGTTGGGCTCGGGACATTCTGTTACGTCTGTCACACCGTCGAGACAATTCTCGACGCGGAACTCTTCTCTCTCGAACACGCGGTATCCTTCGACATGTGGCGGGTCCGCGAATAAACTGTCTCAAACATGGTTGCTCCAAACATCTGAGAAGTTCGAACAGTTCTTGGACCACGTTTTGATCATGGGCGAGCGTTCAAACTGAATTTCGCTTTAAAATTTGTAGACCGTTCGATGGTGGCTCGAACTTCACACTCCAGGTGTTGCAAACTGTTTGAACAGATTTACGAAACGTTTCAAACTTCAAGCAGCGAACGTTGACCAAGCCGCTCGTGGTAAAATGAACTATCGGAAGCTTTGCAGTTATATTACTTATCAATATTATAAAGATGACACTTGTTTGATAAAGTTTGAAACATTCCATCAGGCTGTTTGAAAAAGTTTACAGCGGTTCCAGTTTGACGTTTGAAACGACTCATCAAACTGTTTCAAAGTGATCTTCAGTTTGAGCGTCTCCCTATGGTCAAACTTAGCGTGAACAGTTCAAACTCCTCGTTAGGTGTTCAAACACGTATGAACAGTTTGGTTGCTCGCAGCAACCTTCGATATATATCACACCATTCGTTGCTTTTTGTTATTTCTGCCTATCGATCAAATGGCTCGATTTTGCGTGTTATCGTAAATGTCCCCAATGTAATAACCACAATTCTACGCGTTACCCACGTTAATGGTGCAGCGCGAACCCTTGGCCTGAATAAAAAGGGGCGCGAAAGAACCTTTAAAGGTCCGTCCTGCGATGAACGTCGTTGATCGACAATTTTCCCTTCATTTTAAGGTCCTTCTTCGTTGCAAATTTCTAACTCGAAACGGTTCTTGTTCCGCTCGTTGGCACCGCTCTCGAATCCCATCGAGGTGTATTGGTTTCCTCGTCTGTTGTTCTGATGCCGAGCGAAGCGTGTCACCCTCTCGCACTCCCACGAACTCGAACCAGTCGTTACTCGATATTGTGTATCAGGTTCGTCGAGGTCCTACGGTGACCTTCGCCCTTACGCGTCCCACGTTTCAGTGTACCAAGGACACTCGCTTGGTAATTCGAATACGAAACAAATGGCATGATCAGTGGACTGGAGGGATATAACCTGGTCGTCGAAAAGTTGTTTCGTTAGCGGAGAGCCTAGCAATGTTAACTGGCATTTGTAATGTTGGAGAAACTTTCTGCATTTAACAAGTTCGAGGTTCAGATGGGGTCAGTTTTGACCCTCGCCTACATTTGTTCATTAAATTGTTAGATTCAATTGGAAAACTACAGACTTATACAGTAGACCCTCGTATAACACGGATTTATATAGCAGAGATTCGTATACCACGGATTTATATAACATAGGTTCGCATACCACGGATTTGTAGAATACGGATACGAACAACACGGGTTCGTATAAATACCAGTTCGTATAAACACGGACGAGTATAAACACATATGCGTATAAACACCGACGTGTATAAACACGGATGCGCATAAACACGGAACGTATCCTCACAATCAGTGCAATATGGGGGTTTACTGTATTTCAGTCTTGGGTATTTGGTCACCCATAGGGCTCTGTGAAATACGATAAAAGACAAAACTTTCATTGAATGCAAGGAGTTTTTCTATGTTATTATGATCTGTATGATACTTAAGAGGAGAGAAAGAAATTTCTATACTTGGCTCTTGCTTTTATAAATTACTTTAGGAAATGTCATTTTGCATTCGCAATCTGGTCACGACAATAAAAGTCACGATTCACTGTCCACGTGTGAAAACGCAGCCTAAGTGTGCGTGTGTGGATCACTGTCGAGGGGGAGCGTGTGTAGATGGTCAAGCGATCGATAACGCGCGAACTACCACGCTCGACTACATACAATATACGGTTAGACTGATTTTCTCGTCTCTACGTCTAAAATTCAAGTGCAAACGACGAAATTTCCTACGTAACTGTAAAAACTATGCTACGAATCCGTTTCTAATGTCGCTCGTCTAACTTTCCATCGAGCGGCGGTTTGAACTGCCCTGGCTTCTGTGTGCTTTTTCTCGGTTCTGCTCGTTCGCTTTCGTGTACAATCGACGGTACCTGCGTCCGTTTGAGGGATCAGGATGGGTGAACAGGACGCGCACGCGAGAGAAAAACATTTACAAAAGCCGAAGAGAAAACATTTCGAATGCCCAAGGCGTTTATCGCGACGAAGTAATTCGTGGATTGAACGAATCCACAGGGAAAACACGCCCGAGACGGAACAAAAGGAACATTGTTCGGTGGTTTCCGGACGAACGATGCGATCGACCAACCGAATCGAGGCTGATTGCGAGCCTAATATATACCGAAATTACAACCGAATTTTGTTTCTATCGACTTGAATTCGGGTCAATAGAAAGAAACCTTGCGAGTAGACCGGACAGAGAAATGCCGTGATTCTTCGTTTCGCGGTAATTACAGGCAACCCTCGTATAACACGGTTAGAGAATCGGGAAACCCTCGAAGAACACGTTACTCCTATAACACAACTAGAGTATTCCGTAGAATAAAATAGTTTTGTTAGATTTTGTAACGTAACCGAATTTTTTCTATGTACGTACATACTACAGTAAATCATCGATGAGTGTTCGAAGGCTTTTCGGCACTCAGTGTTCAGACGTCATCACCACCACTGGACATTTGACTGATTCCACGATGGACCTCAACCTAATGGTGGGGATGACGTCTGAACACTCAGTGCCGAGAAGTCTTCGAACACTCATCGATAATCTACTGTACTTCTTCGTTTTCTATAACACGGCCATTTTTAAGAACCGAATCACCGTGGTTACACACGGGGTTACCTGTACAAGGGGTTCGAGAAGACGGTGAGGACCATTGATTCTTCATACGAAAGGAAAATTCGTCCGACACAGACGACTTCTTTTTCTCCTCTCTTTCGTGCTCTTTCTCGAATCCCGTCGGTGCTCGAGATAGCAAAAAATGGGAATACACAACGGGGAACTGGCCTTCTTTCTTTTTTCCTTTCCTTTCTTTTCCTTTCTCTCGTGTTAATATAGGCGACACACCACTGCAACGCTCAGCCGGCACAAGCATGCAATTTGTCAAAACAATCCTCTACCATCAGTTTTTAACCCGCGAAGCCTGTATATGAGTTTTGTCTCTGGCGTGTTGTGTACTCTGACGTTTGCACGCGACTGCTTTATAAGGAAAGGTAGCCGAATTTGGACCATCGCTTAGGTTGGACCGTTACAGTAAATCTACGATTAATGCTCGTTATCGTAGAGGAATACTATTCCACAGCTCATAAATTAAAGGTCGAGCCGTGGACTGTAAGTGTTCGATATTCGAACTATTTCAATAATTGGAATAATTACAAATACGAATGATTTATTCGAAGAATTCGAATACTTCGAAATATTCGAATTTTCCTGTTCAAATATTCATAACAGCCCTAGTCGAGCCTCGATAGCTCGTTTTCGTACTTTCTCGGCGGCTGACAAAGATTAAAAGCAGTAGTGGGGATGGAACAGAAGCATTTAACGTAGAGATCTTTCCGAGCATTTATCGAGAACTTACTGTATTGTAACTTGTGATGTCTAAGCAATTTATGCATGATAAACAATATTTGTATGATAGTAGTGATTGCATTAACTAACCTGGTATATAAGCAACAAATATTGTCTATCAAACGGCACAAATTCTTTACGCTTGACAAATTTTCAAGTCAAAGTTCAAAATTCGGTAACCTTACCCTATCGTGTGTCGTGTGACGCGTCGAACGTCGTATTGTCATTGATCACGCGGGGAGACAGACTATGGATCTCTTGTTGCCGTCCGAAATGTCTCTCACGGATGTGTGCTCATTCGTCATACAAATGTATGGTTTCCAGATCCAAGCATATTTCCAGACGTTTTTCAGTTTTCCTTCGAGACATCGCGCACCGACAACAGCCATCGTTTCCTGTCCCGCGTGACAAATTATTCTCGCGGCGTTTCGTTATCTACGTGTGTCTTCGGTGGTGTCTGATATTTAGTCTTCCAGCTATAGAGTCTCGAGCAGCGAAGTAAAGGCAAAAAAGAAAAAGGAAGAGAGAAAGACAGAGAGAGACAGAGAAAGAGAGAAGAAAGAGAAAAAGGGGGAGGATGAAGAGACATGAGAGAAAGAGAGAGAAAGAGTAAAAGAGAGAGACAAAGAAATTCATCGATGTCCAGAGTTAAGAGACTGGAACGAGGATACAAAAGCCAAAGTCGAAAGATCAATTGGACTTTGCGAAAAAACCGACTTTTGATCTTTGGAATCTTTTCTTTCGTCGAAGAAAAAAGGTACTCGTACACTAGCGACGCTTATTACGAATCGACAATACTATTTTCACTGTAACATTCCGTTAAAAATGATTTATTTCTAAGTATACCAGAATAATTTTTATGTATGAAAGTATAGGCCGATAGACATAATTTTTAATCTGTTGTTACACTAAAAACGATATTGTCGTTTCATGGTAAACGCCATCGGTGTGTAGATACTTTTTTTTTATTACTATATGTACAGGATGAGTTATTTAAATCGATCCCTTCGAATAATTTTTTATATAGAGTAAATTATCTTCCGCTCAAAACCATTTAGCTTTTAAAAACAAAGTGTATAGTATCCTGTAATTACTATTTTATTTTTCTTCCTTGCATTTTTCAGTTACATGTTTCATTAATTTTATTATTTGTCAGATTTATGTTTACATAAACGTATTTCTCTCGTGTCCCAATGGGAATTATCCCGTAAAACAAATAAATAAACTTTTGTTTGAAACATTTTGCGGTAGCATGAACGGTTTCGAAGATATTCGAGGGGATCGATTAAAATGACCTACCCAGTACATGTACGCGCGTGTATACTGGACGGGATCGAAGAATTTTCGCTTTGTCTCTGTCTAGTTCGAGCTACCGTCTCATCTCCCCCCGGTCAAACTCGTCTACCATATACGTATATAAATGCTTCGAACACTACTTGATATCGACATGCCGTGGCATAGCACAATAGGAACGCATCGTACTCGAAACAAAAAGTATAGAGAAGTGAAAAGTGGCCGCCCGCCTCTCGGCGGACTTTTATATCATGATCCTCTCTCATGACATACTACCACGATAAAGTTTCGTTTTTATAACTATTCCAAAGACAAAGAATCCCCATTAATGACAAAACACACGCAATGAAAAATCGTTTTGTTACGAACGATCTACGATCGACAGGGATTCTCGGGTGAACGCGGTTTAATATCGTATCTAATTTCGGGCGCGGAAAAATATCTTACTATACTTCGTACTATCGAACCGAGCACTCGAAATCGGTGGAGAATCGCGAGCCAATTCGGAATGTCGTTCGACGGTCAATCGTGATTAGCGATGGGATCGATACCGATATTATCGATGATATTCGGGATCGGCACGGATTCAATATCGAAAGCGATCGACATTTATAGAATTGTTTCGATGGTATCGATACGGTATCAGTCCCATCGCTAATCCTGGATCAACCAATGTGCGACCGCGACGCGAGCCCCCATGGATCAGCCTTTACGCCGTTCACCAACGATCACGTGGTTTCCGTCGCTGCTCGAAACGTCGAGAATCACATCGGAAACGAAATTTTAGACTGGATTAAAGGAGGGGGGCAAGCCAAACTCTAAAGCTGTTGAAACGTGGGATCAAACGGGTAAACCAGCTCGTTTATTAGATGGCGATCAGCGCGTTAAGGCCCGTTTACACGCAATTTCCGCAAACTGACTTGTGCATTACATGTTCAATCTATTTTAATATCTATTTATAATTAGTTGTTGCAATTAAATAATAAGAAAAGTAATGGTAATTATTTGCCAGGGACGTTAACTTTCACTTAAACACAATGAATTTTTATTATGCAAACGTGAATGCACAAGTCAGTTTGCGAAAATTACTTGACCGAGTAAACGTGCCCTTGGACGTTAAAAAAATTATCGTCAGATCCAAGCTCGTTCGAAGGAGCCGGCGTAAAAGCGTCACGGATCAGGGGCCAGTCGTTCGATCGGTTGTGCGGGTACACGTGTACAATATCGGTGGATCAAGACAAAACAGAAAACATGTTCAAAAAGGGGGGGGGGGACAGAAAAATGGTAAAGAAAAAGATGGTCACGATGAAAGGTTACAGGGGGAGAGAGAAAGATAGATAGTGTGTGTGTATGTATGTGTGTCGAGAGACAAGAAAAACCCGATTACTGAAGTTGTACACTTATAAACAGCTTGTTGTTTTACAAGGGAAAGATACCCAGAGGTGCATTTGTCGGAAAAAACAACGTCTGCCTCGTGCCCTGCACCTCTCGACGATTATATTTATACATATATCGCCGAGCACAGAGCGTTTCCAGTCGTATCGGTTCCGGGTCGCGTCAAAAATTTCATCGATTCTCGAAAGAAAAAACACAGAAAAAAAAAACAAGCAAACGTTCCGTCAGTCAGCGGAACAAGCGAGGAAATTGGTTTCGATCTCGTTATAGGCGGATTTATGAGAGATCTCCGTCGTTTTCTATTGATTCGCGGATAATCGTCGAAAAAGGTGGTCGGGATGTCGAGCAAAGGCGTTAACCGAGGCAGTAGAACGAATTTTGGTAAGTGGGTGAGAATATATATATATAATATACATATATATATATATATATA